GGGAGGGAGGGCGGGCGGGGAGATGAGTCGTGGGGACCGAGGGAGGCACGGGCGAGGGCACGCACCTTGTCGAGCGGATAGAGCAAGCCCTCGCTAGCCTTGAGAGAGCATTTAACCCAGCGCACGTTGCGGGCGGACTGGAAGCGCTGGGAATGGTAGACTTTCTTCCCGGAGAGGATCTTGAAGGTCTTAGCGACCAAGTGGTGCATGGGCCCGGCCATCGTCTGCTCGAGCCTGTCCTCGTACTTCTCCCGCAGCTCCTCCTCCGTCATGTTCACCGTCACCTCGCTCGCGCCGTCGTGGGTCTGGGATGAGGGGTAGAGTGGGAGGGGAAGGGGGAGATGAAGGGAGGGAGGGAGGGAGGGAGGGAGGGATGGGTGAGGGAGAGGGGCGCGAGGCCGCGGCAGTCGTAAAAGCGCGCAGACAAGGTCTGGGGGCCAGCACGGAAAGGTGCAGAGTGGAGGCAGAATGTCCAGAGTGAAGCAGGCTCCAGACAAGGCGAGGGCTCCCAAGCGGATCCTCACCTGTAAAACCAGGTAATTGTAGCGTTGCTGCCCTTGGCGGATGGGCTTCTTCAGACCGATCACAAATGCCCACCGGTGGTCGGGCCGCTCCAGAAGGAAAAAGTGGATGATGTCATCGTAGGCCATCTTGTGGTCGTACTTGGCGCCGTGCAACCGGAAGGAGTTCGTGTACAGATTGATCACATACCGCCCGCGGGGGTAGAGGAAGAAGCCCTCGTCCTCCGCGAAGGTGACCAGGGCGTCGCCCGTGGAGGCTTGGACGGTCGTGCGGGCCAGCACGTTTTTCTGAAAGGCCTCGGCGCCGTCGTCCTCCTCCTCTCCGGGCGGGATGTAGAAACGGACCTCGACCAGGGTGTCCTCGTCCCTGTCGGCAGCGTCCGTCTCCACGAATTGGAGCTCCACCTCGTTCTTGATGTTCCCCGTCCCCGGAAGCACGCACTGGGAGACCGCACCCAGTGGTAGCTCGAGCACGGGTTTATCCTCCAAGGACATGACCAGGGTGTTATCCTCGAAGATGAGGTCGCCGTAGTTGGCCCCGCCCGAGTTCAGGACCTCGCGTTCCAGGGAGAGGGAATAATTCGATTGGAAAACCTCTCGCACACGCTCTTCTTCGGTGCGGAGAAAGCCGTCGCACCGCAGCGCTTTCCCATTCTTCAGGAATAGACGGAGGTGGCCCCACTTCCCGAAGACCGACCAGGAGGCGCGTAAAATGTCCTTGGCCTGCACTGTCTTGGCGTTGCTCGGGCCCCGCCATTCCAACCCCTTCCCCGTGAACGTCAATGTTCCCACCGACTGCCCTGACAAGCCTATGTTCTCGAATTTCTCTATGGTAGCCATGAATGCGCTGGTGTGGCTCTCCTAGATTCTAAAGTCGGCAGGCGCGCTTCGAAAGTCGCGTGTTGTGTTGCCGCGCTCGCCAGGTCTTCTCAGGGCTGGGAGTCTGTGGGAGGTGAGGGGAAGGAAATGGGACATGGACACACCCGAAAGAAAGCGGCAAGATTGACACGTGTCCTCACACACTGGCCATCCCCACACTCGTCCAGTCGGACACGTCGACAAAGAAGTCGGGCGGGTCCCACCCGGGCAAGTGAGAGCGCCAAGGAAGAAAGGGCGCACAGCTTCTTCTTCTTCGGCGTCTCGGCGACGGAGAGGGAGGGCCTGACCGACCACGGGGCTATATTTGCTGGCTTTGCCAAAACAGGGGGATCATGCGCACTTTGTGTGACGTTGAGATAGGGTTAGGACGACGTGACCACTGGTGTAACCTCTCACTAGACTCTTCTCTGTTTTTATTCCCTCTATCACCTGCAGCACGTCAATCGAATTTGCGAGACATTGGCGACAAGGTTACGTCCCGCCGCACGGTCTTCGAGTCTGTGAAGAAAGCGTGCCCCCACGATGACACCTGTCCTGGAGACCCAGAGTTGCATTTCTACGTTATCCGACCAAGTGCCTTCGAAGTGCCGTGCCCAGCCTGAGGTGGAGTCCGGTGTTAAGGGCGACAGGAGTCCGAAGTCCAGCACCAATAGCAACGGCATCAGTCGAACAATTCAGGAGAGCGCCACTCCTTCTCTACCCCGGGAGACGTCAAGATCCGATGGAGCTTCGAGCCCCTTGGACTCATCGACGGCTTCCTCCTTGGCTACCTCAGCGACGGCGGCCATTCAGTCAATTAAAGGCACCATTTACCCCGCCAGCGGCACCTTCAAGGGGGTGAGCGTGGCGGAAGAAATGAACCCGCTGCGGCGAAGCACCATGGAAGACGTGCACCGAGTCCTACCTGTCTTTGATGGCGATGCATGTATGAGCTTCGTGGGCATCTACGATGGGCATGGGGGGCGGGACATAGTGGATTTCCTTGCCACGGAGCTCGAAAAGAACGTGGCGCGTGAGCTTAAAGTTGAAGACGGGGCCAGCGTGCCGGAGAGACTGGAGAGGGCATATCTGTTGACGGACGTGCAATCTCGACAGGCGGAACTGATGGGTTCCGGGGCGACCGCCGTAACGTGCCTGATCAAGGCCAGGAGGGAGGGCGAGGGTGAGGGGGCGGGGGAGACCGTCCGAGAGATATACACTGCCAACGTAGGGGACAGCCGGGCCGTGCTCTGTCACCAGGGGAAGGGTGTGCGCTTGACATACGACCACAAGGCAGAGGACAAGGGGGAGCAGGCTCGAATCGAGGCCGCCGGGGGCTTTGTCTTGCGGAGCCGCGTCTTGGGCATCCTGGCCGTGACGCGGAGCTTCGGAGACCATCGGATGAAGGACTACGTTATCGGGGTACCCTACACATCCACCACCATCGTGGAGGACAGTACACCCGAGGAAAGCCCTTTCTTGATTCTCGCCTGCGACGGGGTCTGGGACGTGCTCTCGGACGACGAGGCAGTGGGGCTCGTGAGGGGGCAATGGGAGAGGGAGGGCCGGAGGCCGGAGGTGGACGCGGCGGGCTTGCTGGTACAAGAGGCGATGCGAAGAGGCTCGTCGGACAACATAACTTGCATTGTGGTGCTCTTGTGAAGACGGATAGGAAGGAGGGGGAGGGGGTTGAGGAAAGGAAAAGAGGGGAGTATGTCAAGAGCGCTTGCCGCGCCATGGAGGAGGGACCGGGGCCTACCATAGCAAAGTCAATAAATAAACGAAAAGCTGCCTTTAACTACGAGAAGAGAAATCTCAGCAATACCCCAAATCGCATATACAGGCGAACCCTTTCGCCGAGTCGCTCTTCAAGTTTTCTCTTTGACCTCATTCCCGTCCCGAGCGTCGCAGATCAGCGACCAAATTGTCGAAATCTTCCTCCATGATAGATAAGAGCTGCATAGCCTGCGCGTGCTCCACCTGTCGATCGAGTACTTGCAACAACTCCCCCTGTTTTTGAAGAGCTGCTCGCAACTGAGCGTTCTCCTTTTCCAGATGCCTAGCCCTTCGCTCCGTTTGGTCCAAGGCAATTTGACATTGCCTCATCTTCGTTTCTCGGGTAGATTTGTCCTTTTTAAGTGCGGCTTGTAATCGTTTAGTTTCTTTCTCAAGGCGCTGTCTGTGCACACCTTGTCCTTTCAACTCAGAGGTCCGTGTCAGCGTCTCCCGCTTCATTTGCAACACATCCTTTTCCGCGAACAAAGCCCTTTGTGCATGTTGCGTTGCTAATCGTTCGTTTGTCGCGTTTTGATTTTGGGCCTGGAGTAAGGCCGCCTCCAGTCTGTTTATCTTGTCAAGAAGCTGCTGATGCCGATTCTTCGTAGCATGCTTTTCAACTGGTTTTCCGACATCAGTGGCACTTTTTCCTGTTCTGTTTGATGGCGTGCTGGGCTTTATCGAACGGTCCTTACCTATCTCTGTATTTTGCTCGTGTTGTAATGCAAATTCTTCTTCAGGGGGGGGATAGGACATGGGAACGCCCCCCACAGGTTGAACCGAGGGCAGCACATCAGGTTTGGGCGCTGCAGCCGGCGAATTCATTGTAGCTTGTAGCTGCATAATGCGGTAATGTAAGGTAGACAATGGCTTCATCTCCTCCATTGTCATTTCTCTGTTTCGTCATGAAGGATGTGAGTGCCGCTAACTTGGTCATGAGTGTTGAAGCCACAAGGACTCGTTCTTGCTGGCCCGCCCGACAAGGGAGGGATCGATTGGGATTTCGAATTTTTGAGTTTTAGCGATTACGCAGGTCTTACAGCACTATATCTGGCGCGGATGTATGCGAATACAAGCGCTGTGCTCTTACGATTCAGTACACAGACTTGACAATGGATCAATTTTTGTTTGAAATGGAGTATGGGTAAGTCCATAACCATCAATTTTACGCACACACTGTTCCTTGTTGCAAGAACATGATGTGACGATGAGCTACATGTCATGCACAAATCTGCAGACGCAGATTTGTGCATGAGTTCCAGACACAACAGGTGATTTGTATTGAATGATAAAAGTATCAAAATCAAGAGGATGCCATAATTCATCGCTCGTCGCCGGTGTGTCATATTTTGTGGCACAACTGATCTCTCACGAAAGATAACATTCTATGCCTAAGGCCGCTGGACTATACGGCAATGGGTCGACAGACGCAGGTAATTAACATACCACCTTCAATTAAGAGTAACCAAGTAGCACAAGGCTACGTATTTGACAGCGCAAAAAAAGTCCGAATAGTAATTTTTTCTCACTACTCATTGGTGAATCGAAGTACCTAAAAATGCAGTGTGGGAAGGCGAAAGGCCTCCACAGCGCCATTTCTAAAATTCTCCGCGCTTTGAGGGGGGTTTACGAGGAGGCGTCAAATTTTTCACTGACGTTGCTGACAATGTTGTCATGCCAGCTGCATCGGGCGGGGTGCCAGTCGACAGATATGAAGACGACGCACGAACGCGCTTGGTAATCGCCATCTCGACATCTCCCTCTTCCACAGCGGTCGCTTCCTTCGAACACACTCCCTTTAATGAGTTGTTTTCAAGTCCCAGCTCTGCTGCTGCTACCGCAGCACCGTGCCGCAGAGCATGGTGCAAAAGCAGGGCCAGCCCTATCAGAAGGAGCAAGGCTCCCACACTGGCCGATATTATGGTGGTCAATTTGATTAGCTTCTCCGTCCCATAGACCATATTTTTGAAGAACTTTGCATCTTCGGGGACGATCCCGGCATGCTGTGCAACGTGCAGAACCGGCAAGGCCTTGACAGGATAAACGCTGTTGTGGAACTTGTCAAAGGCCTCCGGCGTGATCCCTGCATTGAGCTGTAGTTGTATGTTCGCGTTCATCGTCTTCCCAGTCACAGGCTCCACGTCAATGTAGCTATCATCTCGAGCGGGGTCAAACCCTGCCAGACCCCCCACGTCGGACATATCGAAGGGCGGAGTCGGGCGATAGTGGGGCTTACTGAAGTACGTCAGGCCGGTCATGAGGCCCGTGAGGTTGAAAAGGCCTTCTTGTTGCATTTTGTCCATCCCAAAGGTCTTGGCGTCGCTTCGAGAGCTGCTAAAAGTTTCGGGCACTAGGCGAAAGCGCTTCAATTTGACGCCTTGCACGTCTACGTCCTCCGAAAACGCGAACCGCAGGGGCAGGACAAAGCCTGGTACGAAGACTGAGAGCACCACGTTTGGTCCGTCGATGGCGCCAAAGGGAGGAAACTGCATACCATCGGAGTAACCATACTGAATGGATCCGGGCAAATCTTTCGTTCCTCCAGCAAAGGGAATAGAGCCGCCAGGCCAAATGTCAGCAATGCTTCGGTCGCCACGGTACGTGTAGAAGGCTCCCGCGCGCACGGTATCGTCCCGACCCGTGTGATACGTGTTGGGCACTTTGTCGAAGATGCGAGCCACTTGCTCGCTCCCGTCCATATTCTGAGTGATGTTTCGCGAGGAAAAGCGGCAAGCCGTGAACGGGTTTTCCACGTCGTTGGAGGAGAGACAGCGGCCCGGGCCGTCCAGGCTGGGATCGTTGGCGAGCAGGCTGAATTTCATGGCCCGGGGGTCATCCTTAGCCAGACTTAGTTGTAAAATGGGCGCGGAGTACCCGTACAGGCATTCTCGCAAAGTCTTGCGCGTAACTAGCCCCCCGTTCTTATCCAGCACGTCCTCCTGCAGCAGGGGGGCGACGAAGTACTCAGCCAGGTAGGCTAAATAGCCCTGCAAGAGGGCCCAGTCGTTCTTTGATTGGAAGCAATCCCGGGGATCGATAAGGGGCTCGCCCGAGTCCTCCAATCCAAAATCTACAAACGTGGGACGGCTGATGCTTGGACCTGGGAGGCCCAAGACATAGGTCTGGAAGTAGACCATGGGCCGTTTAGCCAGGTCGAACGTGCACTTGGCCTGGGTCCGGTTAAGCCGTTTGCCGCCATAGGTAAAAGTCTTGTACCCTGCCTTCTCCGCGTACCAGGCGAATTCGGGGGGAAGCTCCGGCTGCATGCTCTCCGGCCTTGCCATTGACTCGTTCTTAAGGCGTGTAACCACGTCTCCCACTGCCCATTGCCGCCACAAGAAATCACTCCACTGTGCCACCTCAGCCGTACCCGCATCTTCTGGAGGTAGACTCTCCAAGAATATCTTGACCACAGCCATTTCGAGCATGGGGCTTCGATATATATCCAGCAAGTACGCCCGCAACGCGTTGTATTGTCGGATGGTGATCCCAAAATGCATGGCGATAGTGTCCCGCACGTCCACGTCGCCCCACAACCAGTACGATATACCGTACCGCTCTGCGGCGCTCCCTCTGTCCACATTCATGATGGAATACACGTCGGTTGGGTCCCATAGCCGGCGGACCGTCGCCAGGGGTATCTGCTCGGCCTCTGTCAGCTTGGTGTTGATGCAAAGCTGCAGCAGGTTCAAGTCCATCTTGTTGCGCTTATCGACAGCCGAGAAAAAAGTTGCAACCGTAGAGAAGCCGCAAATCTTCCCAAACATGTTGCTTGTACAGCCCCCGCCCCATCTGGTGGCTGTCGCCTCGGACGGCGCTTGCATGGCATTGAGGATTTGGGTCATGGCGTCCACAGCCATCTGTATAGCCATGACCACAGCGTTTTCCTTCAGAGCGAGAAGAAAATATGTTTTCATTTGGAACAAGACTTCTGCCAAACCCTGTTGAGAACCGATTTTCAGCAAGTTGCTCTCGCTTCCTGCCGTGTAGATCGCGACCGAGTACGGTAAGTTGAGCGAATAGACGGACTGCCGGTCTAACTCTTCTGGGTCCCCTGTGAATTCGTGCTGTATCTGCGTGATGTATGAGACCAGACGGCCCTCGTCCGAAAAGGTTACGTTGATTTTCTTGGTCCTTTGCTGAAAGCTGAAGGGGCCGACCTCGTGCACTTGTGGAGGTTGCCCCGCCAGGAACTCCTCCGGATTCGTGATGTTGTACAGGTGGTACGTATAGAAGAGGGGTGTTTTTTGCTGGGCCCCTGTCGCCCATGCCTTGAATTCTGGATGGTTCGGTGCGTCTACTACTATAGCCTCTCGGATCTTGGCATGCCTGTACGCGTTTCCCTCAATGTCCACGACGCCAGCCAGCGCCATCAGAAGCAAGCCGGCCACGAAAAGACCGAATCCTCGCCGACACTGACGAGAGGCCCAAGCTGTCTGTAGCCAGCTCCGTACCAAGCTGCGGCGAGGGGGTACGGTGTCCATGCTGACACGTGCAGCCCACTCCTCTTGCCCCATGCTGCCGGTGCGCCGGGTATGGCTTGAACTCCTGCTTCGATGCCTTTCTGTTCGGCCGAGGTTGTCTTGATGATGACTGCGAAGGGTGTTGCTGTCTTGAAGAGGTCGCGAACTGCTAGCACTGACGATGCTGTTGGTGCTTTTGGCGCTTCGCTCGCTACCCGAACTTCGCATCGACGCTGTCCGATGCGAGTCGCCGTAATACAAATCATC